AAATAGTCTCTCCGTTGATACTCCTGCCTTGGACAATGCTCATTTGAGTGGGTTGTTCATTCCTGGTGGGACCCTAACCTGATTCTCTGCAGGGGCTGGCTCCCTTTATGTCTTCTGCATCACTTGCTTTACCTGCAGGCATCTCTCTTGTCAGACAGTCACATGGCTTATTCACTCCTCTCAAATGTAAGCCCCGTCGGGGCAGGGATCTGTCTCTGACCTACGCCCTACTCTACTCCCCAGGTCTCAAACATGAATGATACGCAGCATATGAATAAATATTTGCTGAATGAATGGACGTCCAGTGGGAAAACCTAAACTTCCACTTTCACTGGAAAATCTTACCCAATAACTTCATCCATTTATTAACTGATTAATTACAAGATCAGTGAAGAAGAGCCAAGAGACTTTGGGTTCAGTTGGTCTCCAGATCGCTCACCTTGGGCTGGAAGTTCATCTCTCTGTTGTGAAAATAGTTTATCCATTGAATCTATTCTGCATGGGAGTTTAGAGGATCAAATGAGATAAAGAGTGTGAAAGTGCTTTGCAAAACATACAATGACACACGTGCAAGGAATCCATACCTTGGTTATAGGGAGAAATTCTTCTGTGTACAGAGACCTCTGATCTGGTCATCCCAGCTCTCACAACAGAGAACCCAGGAGGAAACATTATCTAGCCCTCTCATGCAGCCCATCCCTCAAGGTCCTGCCCCTAACCACAGCAGAATCTTCCAGACCCTCCTTCAATGTCTTTTCCCTCTCTTTTCATTGCCAGTCCTAATGAGCTGGTTTTTCTGTGTCCCAAAGAGCAAGGCAAACCCTGAAAGAGCAAAACTCAAGGAGGAAGGTTACCTGAGTCCAGAATTCAAAAAAAATCAGAGAGTGGGGACAAAACAACCCCAATAACACTTTGATAATCCTCGAGGAAACATAAATAAACTTATGTTCTCAAGGACTATCCTGAATCATACATATATTTACATATGCCTTTATAGAGACTCTGTGTTTGTATCACCTGTATTAGAAAGCAGGGAATTATATGAGAGACTTTAGAAAAATTTCTATATAAAAAGATATTGCTGAGGACCTTAAGTGCTACATCACTGAATGTATTCCCCTCACTTAGGTTCAAGGTCAAATTTGCAACCCAACTGCAGAAACTAGAGGGCCATATGGTTTGAATATTTGTATTCTACTTTTTTCCTCCTAGCTTCGACATTCTATTTTAATTTGTGTTTTTCCTGGTTCTTATTTTTTTATTTATATTATGCTGCTTTATTGTTTTTCTTGTAAGCTACCTCTGAAATTTTGTGGAACAAGACAGGAATATAAATAAATCAATACATACACACTGCATACAGTATAACGCTCTACAAAAGTAGGCATTCAGAAAAACGTACTTTCTACAAAGAAGAAAGTGATAATACCAGATGAATGGAAGTATGTCTGAATTATTATTATCTTTAGTCTTATTTTTCCATCTTCTAAGAATATTTCTGATCTTGATCATCTTTTCATCTCCGAATCTCTACTGCAATTGAGGACAATGGGGAAGGAATTAAAGCTTTGTAAACTGGCCACGAAGGTAATGGTAAATACCACATAAAGGGTAAATCTGAGACTGAAAGATCAATGAAAATACCTTGAAAAACAATTCCACGCATGATCCTATTCTTCCTTTTTTTTAGTTTTATGAGGCAAACCTCCTCTGGAGGAAATCTAAGCCAGTTCTAGCCCATTTGAGTTTCTCCATAAAACCAGAGAGAAGGGCAATAAAATAAAAATTGACCCAGACTCAAAGGTCTGCATTATCCTGAGGACTCACAATGTTATCACATTCCTCTTTCTTTCTGAACTTCTAAGTAAGATGGTAAGTTGGCCAAAAAGCCGAAAGGGTGCTGGATTTTCCCAGGCAGAAGTCGAAGAACCCGAGAATTGGCCTTCAGCATCCTCCTCTGCTGGGAAACACAGTTCAGTCACACGTCCCTTGTTAGAAGCTAATAAATCATCAGCAACTACCATGGAAGCAGCAGCCTGTGAAGACTCAGCCCAACTCCATGCCTAGTTCTATCTGGATTGCAGCGGAGACAGGATCAGAGTGAGGGAACCCAAGTTCTCGTCCCAGTTCTGACAGTGTCTCAATATGTGACCTTGAACAAGCCATCCATCCTGTGCCTTTGGTAACTAGAGATAATTCCTGACCCACCAGCTTTCCCAGGCACCATGAAACTAATACGAGACAATATTTTGGGGCCATGCCCCACAGCATGTGGGATCTTAGTTCCCCAACCAGGGACTGAACCCGTACTCCCTGTATTGAAAAAGCTCAGAGTCTTAACCACTGGACCACCAGGGAAGTCCTAACACTAGATAAATTTATGATGATACTTAGATGCATCCATGGGAATTGGCTGCTCTTAGTCTGTGTGCCCTTCACCCTCTCTGTACAGTTCTAATATCATACCTACCTGATCATCTCCTAATTATCTGTTTACACGTTTGTCCTCATGGCTAAACCAAGAGCCCCACGAGGATAGAAATTAGGTCAAATTCATCTTGCCATGTCTCAGTTTCTATAACGTTACTTGGCACTGAGCAGGCACTTAATAAATGGTTTCTAAATGTCAAAAAAGAAAGGAATTGTTGAAAACTACTCAACAGGAAAATCCTTAAGACGTCTGACTTTGTGGCATCACACACACACCGCCCCCCCAGATCCTCAAAGGGGGGAAATAAAAACTTGCTGTCTTAAAGTAGAAGGTCTCTAATGACCTATCAACAATCTAGAGGCTGCCCACAAAATAAACTTCAGTTTTTAAGGACTTTCCAGTTTACAAAACGGTTTTCTATCCAGTCTTTACAAAAACTCTGCAAGACAGATCATTTTCACCCCGATTTACCTAAAAGGGAAAACTGAGTTGGAGAGAATTGAAGTCATTTGTCCACAAACACCCATCGTTGGGAACTCACCAGTTACTGCTGTGAAACCAGCCGGCTGGGTACATTTAATTAGTTCAATAAAGCAAGTCAACTGAGTGGAACATGCAGGGCAGCCAGCCAGGGGCACTGGGGGATAAAAGATGACCCAGACACATCTCAAGGACTGTCTTGGGAGTCTAAGCCACAGAACATAATAGCCAAGAAAGACACAGAACCTGATGGGCGTTCCAAGCATAGAACATACAGGGAGAACCAGGGGACAGAGATGTTTGGTCCAGGGGGTGGGCCCAGGTGAGACGCGGAGTAGGATATTCCAGCAAAGGGAACATCAAGAGTAAAACCAGGGGGTAGTCATGTTAACAGGCAGAGAAGCAGGAGAGACAGAAAGGGCAAAAGAGGAAAGAGATGGAAGTGGGCATAGTGAGACACTGATTTCAAGGTTCCGGGAACACCTCAGTGGAGGTATCTAGCCAGTCGCTATAAAGATGGGTGTGGAATGGGAGAGAGGAGAAATAGGAATTCAAGGCTGTAAGAATTCTGTTCAGAGTGAGAATGAGGCCAAGGAATGTGGAGAAGACAACCTTGCAAATGGGGGAGGAGGAAGAGGAAGCTGAGTGTGGTCTAGGAGGAAGAAACAGAAGGACAGCGATTAGTGGATCAGTGGCCCCTCCCTGGATCTCAACTGTCAGAAGATGGAGGTTCAGTGAACAGGTCTTCATTCAGTAAGATGCAGGATGATGAAGGAGGAGGAAGAAGCCATGAAATGCAGGCAGTAAAAAAATCACTTGTGACACCCAAGGGAGCAGTTTTGGTCCAGCCAAGGAGGATGTAAGGCAAATTAATGCAACTGAGGAGTGAACTCGGAGAAGGCAATGGCACCCCACTCCAGCACTCTTGCCTGGAAAATCCCATGGACGAAGGAGNAGTAACTAATACACTGAATTTTTTTCTTTAATTCTCTTGATTTTTTTTTCTAATTTTATCACTTGTTTTTTTCTAATTTTATCTCACATTGTAAGATATGTTCTGAGGTTTTTTTTTTTTTACTTAATGCTATGCTTCTCAAATCCATAAGTGTTTTGTGCAGTTATAGTTCAGTTTCACTGCTGTATGTATAGTATAGCACTTTTGCCTTCAATCTCTCCCAGCATCAGGGTGTTTTTCAATGAGTCGCTCTTCGTGTCAGGTGGCCAAAGTGTTGGAGCTTCAGCTTCAGCACCAGTCCTTCCAGTGAATATTCAAGGTTGGTTTCCTTTAGAATTGACTGGTTTGATCTGGCTGCCTACTTTATTATTCCCTAGACTTTTCTCTAAATGACTCTTTTCAACTCAAAGCTGCCTCAAAAGTGAAAGGTCTGCCACCTCAGAGTGACAAGTGTTCTGAGTAACAAGTAACAGTAGCTCCTTTGAAAAGAGTCTTCCACCTGCAGGGAGACTGTATGGACAAGACACCTGAGCATGGATGTAAATTCATGGTGTCACCCTGCCATCACCTGTGTCCCTTCATCACCCACCAGTGTCCCAACCGCCTACCTGGTACCCAAATGCTGGGGGTCCTGTTTCAAACACAAACACCCCCAGATTCAAAAACCAAATCACAAGGCAAACAGGCTCAGTCAGACATGGTGACAAGAATGCTGAACTCAGAAGAGACATCTTCAGACTGATCCGCTCTCCCTGGTGGTCAGTTTCTTTAAACATCAAGGCAGATGCTTGGACTAAGAGGCCACTAAGATGTCTTTCTTCTTAAAAACAAATGAATAAAAACCAGCCATGATTTGGGCAGTTATTAAAACATTCTGGAGATGGTGAAAAGAAAGCAGCTGAACTTGGGATCAAATGGAAGGTGTCAGCATGGCTTCAGGGAAAGGAGAGGAACAACAGAGACCCGGAGTGAATACTGGGGGGCAGCCCCAGCTCCACAAAAAACAGGACTCCCTCTATCCCCGGGGGCAGGTGGGGCGCCCCCTCCAAGTGGGTGTCTGTTTGTCTTGCTCTCGTCTGTTGAAAGGATACCCTGGCCCCCCATCAGCATGGCCCGCAGTGGGAGGAACCTTACCCATCGTGTTGTTGGCTCGAGAGCAGGTTGTGCGCTTCAGGATCTCATGCACCTAAAACAGACAACAGCGAGGCTGTGAACACCTGGGCCACATTCTGCAGCCCCAGCCCGGTGTGTGTGTGTGGGGAGGGGGGGGTACCCAGGCAGGTGCCAGCTCACAGACTGCAGGTCAAGCGCATTCAAACAGAGCATCTAACCCCTCACACACACTCCACATCTTGCCCTGCCTCCCAAAAAATGAAGAAAAGGTTGTATGTTGACTGAAGTTACAGGAGGGGAGGGGACCCCAGACCCACACCCCTCTGTGATGGCTTGGGAGGACGCTTGGGGGTGGAGAGAGGCAAGGAGGAGGGGTGTCCTCCTCATCAGCTCCAACAGTGCCCTGCTGCTGAGGGGTCCTGGGCAAGCTCCGGGCGGGTCCTGAGGGCCCGTGGTCCCCTCTGTAATGGAGCTATCTCTCAGAGATGTTTGGAGGAACCAAGAAAGTGCTTTGGCAATTGGAAAAGGATCCCCTATGTCTTGGTCACTGGGACTATTACTTCTCTGCTTTTTGCCTGAGCATCTTGCCTCCCCAGGCAGAGTAGGTCTCCCACGTCCTCAAGACTCCACGTCTTTGAGACGTGGAAATTTTGGGCACACAGCAGACAGCTGCCCGATGACCACAGCTCATCAACAGATCAACAGCCCCTGAGTGGGGAGCTTCTACGGACCCTGTGAGGGCAGAGTGCTGAGAGCATCCAAACCAAGGAAGCCCAGGGGGCAGCATAAACCTGCTGGCCAACTAGTGCCCTCCAACAGGTCCCAAGTCTGTGCCCAGCTCTAAGGAGATGCCAGGGATGGAACTCTGTGCTGGGACACGTGACTGGGCTGCCCAGACAGCCACAGGGAAGAGGGCACAAGGACACGGGCCTAAGGAGATGCTGGCAAGGCCCTCAGACCAAAGTCTGGGGCAGAGCAGACCCCAAGACACACCTCAAGCCTCTTTCTCCCCCTGTCACAGAGTGGGGTAGACTGGGGAATGGGCAGGAGGGGAAGGAAGAAGCCTCCAGGACGAGAAAAGATGTGTTATACCATCACCATTCACACTCCCACATTCCAGCCACAGAACAGAAAGAGTGGAAAATAAATGACTTCCAGCAGAATGGGGCCCAAGAATGTTTAATTCGCTTATAATACGATGTCGTATTCAACAGCAATAATAATTAGGAACAGCATTTATATGGCAGTCCATTATTTTACAAGCACTTTGCAATTGTTGGGGAATTTCCACAATGCCCTACAAAACTTCCCCCTTAAGACGTGGGACCTGAGCCGTGGTGAGAGTTAAACTGCTTGTAACAGCATCAACCAGGACAATGGGAGGCTCATGCTTTTTTCCATAGGAAGATAAAAGAAATCATATGCCCGTTTTAAATCTTCCTAGAACACCAGGCCAAGAGAACTGGAGTGTTTTCCTGCCCATTCTGCAGGCAGAGTCAAGGCTATGTTTTCAGCATGACTTAGAGATGTTCTGTGGCTTCCTGCAATCCTCCGTCCCTGTTCACCCTGCTCATCACCCTGCTGACATGGAAGTCCCTCTAAGTTGTTGCTGTCGTTCAATCCCTAAGTTGTGTCCGACTCCTTGCAACTACAGGACGCCAGGCTTCCCTGTCCATGGACTACAGCATGCCAGGCTTCCCTGTCCTTCACTATCTCCCTGAGTTTGCTCAAATTCATGTCCATTGAATTGGTGATACTATCTAACCATCTCATATTCTGCCACCCTCTTCTCCTCTTGCCCTCAATTTTTCCCAGCCTCAGGATATTTTCCAATGAGTTGGCTCTCTGCATCAGGTGACCAAAGTACTGGAGCTTCAGCTTCAGCATCAGTCCTTCCAGTGAATATTCAGGGTTGATTTTCTTTAGGATTGACTGGTTTGATCTCGTTGCTGTCCAAGGGAGTCTCAAGAGTCTTCTCCAGCACCACAATTTGAAAGCATCAATTCTTCGGAGCTCAGCCTTCTTTATGATCCAGCTCCCACATCCGTACATGACTACTAGAAAAACCACAGCTTTGACTAGATGGACCTTTGTTGGCAGAACGATGTCTCTGCTTTGTAATATGCTATCTAGGTCTGTTATAGCTTTTCTTCCAAGGAGCAAACATCTTTTAATTTTGTGGCTGCAGTCACCGTCTGCAGTGATTTTGGAACCCAAGAAATTAAAATCTGTCACTGTTTCCAATTTTTCTCTATCTATGCCATGAAGTGATGGGACTGGATGCCAAGATCTTCATTTTTTGAATGTTGAGTTTTAAGCCAGATTTTTCACTCTCCTCTTTCACCTTGATCAAGAGGCTCTTTAGTTCCTCTTTGCTTTCTGCCATTACAGTGGTATCACCTGCATATGTGAGGTTGTTAATATGTCTCCTGACAATCTTGATTCCAGCTTGTGATTCAATCAGCCTAGCATTATTTTGCATGATGTACTCTGCACATAAGTTAAATAAGTAGGGTGGCAAATATACAGTCTTGATATACTCCTTTCCCAGTTTTGAAAGTCAGTTGTTTGATACAAGGTTCATTCTTATTCCTCCTCTAAGTCCTTCCCAAGGGAAACATGATGCCGTGTTTCCATTGTTAGCAGTGCTCCCGGGGCCCATCTTTCTCCTCTTCTGTCCGTAGGCTGGATGCTCTCCAGGTGTGTAGAGGACAGACATATAGTGAAGAGAGATGCCCTACAGCTCAGACTGGGGCCGCAGGGTCCAGGCCCTAGGCAGATTTTCATTAGAATCAACCATCCTGCAAAATCCAGAACCCTGGCTTTGAAAGGGAAAAAGACAGAAGGAGAAGACTGGAAAATGCATGGCATGCATGTCTCCCACCTTCCCTCTAGGCCCTGTGCAAACACCCCAGCAATTACCACAGCCATCCAGCCTCACCACCTTCAACACAGCTCAATAATTAGCCCCCATGATCATCTGTGCTATACTTATTTAGTTTGGATTTATTATATTCCAATGGATAAACTAGAAAATTTCAGGAAAGCATCATTTTGCATAGAGGAAATAAATTAACTTCTGTTGTTTATTAATGTTTCCTGGGGTTTTTGTTGGTTGGTTTGTTGGTTTTAGTTGCTGCTGTGCAGTCTTGCCCGTCCTGTAGCTTCTGAGACTTTTAAAATATATGTTTCAAATATTTAAATAGTTTAATAAAACAACAAAAATGTAGAAGAACGGCCATCATCACGAATGTTGGCTTCTATTGAACAGGCTGGTAACTGTGTCCTTGGACAAACAGTCCAGTTCTAACATTCTCTGACACATCAATGCCCAGGACCCTTTGAGGATAAAAGAAAGAGTCACAGAGGCACAGCAGTGAACACTCCTTCAGACACGAACAATATGCCCGAATTTTTTTAATTCATTACATCAGAGAGCCTCAGTTTCCTCAACTGTCAAGCAAGGGGGTCATCTGACTAGCTGAAAGTCCCTCCACCCCCGGCCCCAAGCTCTGATAGTCCCTGCTTTTATGATTCCAAGAAGGGCCCGGGTGGGACAACCATAAAGAGGAGATATCCTTCACAACCTGAGACTATGTCACTACTGAGACTGGGAAGCTCCTAGATGCTACTCCCAGTTGCTAGGCAACTCCAAGCAAAGGATGATGGGAGGCAGCAGGGATGGAGACAGATGCCCTGTCAAAGGGGATTCAGGCTTCCCCACCCTCTCCCGAGCCCACCACAACTGCTTAAGCACCTGGTTAGCTGGTTTACTTACAATGCGACTACGGGTGGCATTATCAAAGAAGGTGTCCTTGTCCTGGATGTTGTACCTGCAGACACCAAGAAAGCCTGTCAGCGCATTTCATTACTATATCCTTGTCCTGGGACCACTTGTCACCCCAGGCCCAGGGCAAGCGTCTAGAAAACAACATAGCTAGATGGGTAAGACACACACACACACTCACACACACTTATGATGTTTACACTCTTTCCAACTCAGTAATTCTGAAAACTTTTCAGAGAAATTTATCATTAGGAAAACAAATTCAACAGAAGGAAAAAAGTTCCCTACATTAAAACGTTCCTTTCAAAGTTACTTATAACAAAGATTGTGGAGGGAATATGCAATTCCAAAACCTAAAGGATAGATTATCATGCAGCTGCTTGAAAATTATAATTAAGAAAACTTTACAAATACTGTAGAAACGTTAGACTAAGAGAGGAAAATATTACACGATGACAAGTTTTAAAAACAAAAGTAGGTAAAAAGGATTCCCATGTGTGGACAAAGACAGTTTAAAAAAAAAAAAACAGCAAAGAAGAGTACAGTTTCTGGATGTTGGGGTTATAACTGTTTTTTAAATTTTCATTTACTATTGTCCCTGTTGTTGCAAAAATCATAATACATACCAAACTCCTAATTATGTAAGACCTGTGTCTGTTCTAAACTTCAAATGTTGACCTTGCACTCAAACAAAAACAAAAACCCACCTCTGTGACTATGCTTAGGGCATTGTGTTGGAGGGAACACAGATGCCTGAACCATGCCCCCTCCCCGGGAGACCAGGCATTGAGGTGTGTTTCCAAGCCATTAACACAGAGAAGAACATGACCACTTGTAGACCATCGCTATGAAAACTCAGGGGATGGACAGTATGTTTTCATTGGGTGTTAAGAACTGGTCTTGAAGGAACCCAGAAGCTGAGTGGTGGAGACGTGTGGGAGGCAGCAGGTCGGATGTCCAGGCAGATGTGGACGAAGGGCCCAGGGAAGGGAGGACACAGAGTGCAAACGAACAGCCGGCCAGGAAGTCAACGTGTCAGTTGCAGTTCAGCCATGTAAGGCAGCGTGACCTTGGACGGACCCGGAACCTTGGCTTCCTCTCTATTATAGAAGGACGGTTATATCTGGATGGCCGCTTCACAACCCGACCCAGGAACCCAGAAGCTGAGTGGTGGAGACGTGTGGGAGGCAGCAGGTCGGATGTCCAGGCAGATGTGGACGAAGGGCCCAGGGAAGGGAGGACACAGTGCAAACGAACAGCCGGCCAGGAAGTCAACGTGTCAGTCCCAGTTCAGCCATTTAAGGCAGCGTGACCTTGGACGGACCCGGAACCTTGGCTTCCTCTCTATTATAGAAGGACGGTTATATCTGGATGGCCGCTTCACAACCCGACCCCCACAGCCCCCGCTACTCACAGGTACATTTTCTCCCTGGAGAACGGGTACGAGAGGTTCTTCATCCGGCTGTTACTGTGCTCGGGTACTCGGGGCTTCAGGGGCGCGCTCAGTTTGTGCAGAATCTTGTTGAACGTCTTCGCAATGCTGCCTTGTGACTTGATCTCGTACATCTGCGAAGGCAGAGCTACCAGTGAGAGGAGGAGAAGGCCACATCCGACACTCAGCGGGCAGGACCTGCAGCCAGAGCTGCACGGGGCTCAGATCCCCCGTAAGGGACACTCGGGGGGAAGGACGAGCCAGGGAACCCAGGCAGAGCGTCCTGCCCTTCCTCCACTGCTCCCACACAGAGGCGAACACCCTCAACTATTTGCACGAAAAGGAGGTGACCTTTGCAGGAAAGGAGGAGTGCAGTGAGGAGTCCGCACTTCCTATACGGCTTCGTTATATCGTCACAGGAGGCCTTGTGATGTCATCGTGTGTGTGTGTGTGTGTGTGTGTGTGTGTGTGTGTGTTCAGTTTCTCAGTCGTGTCTGAATCTTTGTGACCCTCAACTATTTGCACGAAAAGGAGGTGACCTTTGCAGGAAAGGAGGAGTGCAGTGAGGGGTCCGCACTTCCTATACGGCTTCGTTACATCGTCACAGGAGGCCTTGTGATGTCATCGTGTGTGTGTGTGTGTGTGTGTGTGTGTAGATGTGTGTTCAGTTTCTCAGTCGTGTCTGACTCTTTGTGACCCTATGGACTGAAGCCCATCAGACTCCTCTGTCCATGGGATTTCCCTGGCAAGAAAACTGGAGTGCGTTGCTATGCCCTCCTCCAGGGAATCTTCCTGATCCAAGCATAGAACCTGAGTCTCCTGCATCTCCTACATTGGCAGGTGGATTCTTTAGCACTAGTACCACCTAGGAAGCCCATGATGTCACCATACTAAGCACTTTACCCAAGTGAGCTCCAACACGCACTGTACCCAGCTGGGTAGATAATCTTACTCTCCAGTTATGATGAGGAAATCAAGTCTCAGAAAGGTGAGAAGAGTGAATAAAGGTCACACAGATGGTAACTGGGTGACTGTTTAGGTTTAACACTTGTCAATCCAATCTCAAGTCTGTACCCTACAACTAGACCACACCCCATGTGATCATCCAGCATCACTTCTCCTGTGCTCCTCTTAGTAATGAGTCGGCTTTCAAAGTACTGAACACCTAATGAGGGCTTTACTCAAGCACCTTCTTGAGTAAAGGAGTACCTTTCTTGAGTAAAGCACAGCATTAGCGCCAGGATAATCACTATAGAACCTATAGTATTCGTTGCTCAGTCGTGTCCGACTCTTTGCAACCCCACGGACTGTAATCTGCCAGGTACCTCTCTCCATGGAATTCTCCAGGCAAGAACACTGGAGTGGGTGGCCATTCCCTTCTCCAGGGGATCTTCCGGACCCAGGGATCGAACCTGGGTCTCCTGCTTGCAGGCAGATTCTTTACCATCTGAGCCACCAGGCAAGCCCACAGAACCTATAGTTTCTTATAATGCATAGAGCATGCTTGCCTACAGTATAGCATCTGGTCTTTCTAATTCACAGATGCTGTCACCAAGACACAGAGGTTGTACTCTTCGTAGCAAAGCTTTGATGGATTAACATTAAACACAAATTTTTTACACAAGCTCTCCTTCCAAGGGGCTTCCCAGGTGGCACTAGTGGTAAAGAAGCCAGATGCAGGTTCGACCTCTGGACTAAGCTGGATTGAATTTGTCCTGTTGCAGTGGATGACCAGAACAAGAGCCACACTCAGATTCTATGACATGAAAGGAAGCCAATTGTCTTCTCTTTCATGATATCCTCAAGTTGCTTAAATCTCAAGAGGCAGTAAAACATGTATGAAGCACTTGTAAGATCAATGGAGACAAATGGCACAAAATGCTTCGAAGGTTCAAAGAGAGGAGACAGCAAGTCCAGCTGAGGGATCAGGAAAGTGCTTCATAGAAGGAGCAGCATTTCTGCTGGGCTTGAACAGAAAGGGCACCTTCCTTTTTCTTTTTGTTCTTTAATGAAATCATGATAATTTGGGGCAAGGAGAGAACCTCCCCAATCTAACAACTAACATAAGCCCAGTTTATTTATTTCTTCTAACACTTTTTTCTATGTGTTTTAATTTCAATTACAAAATTAACACAGTTCAAGTAAACAAGGAAATCAAGATCAGGGTCTTCCTTGGTGGTCCAGGGGTTAAAAGTCTGCTCTTCCACTATAGGGGCACGGGTTCAATCCCAGGCCAGGGAACTAAGATTCCTCATACACTGAGGTGCAGTCAAGGAAAAAAAAAAAATAGAAAAGAAAGAAAAGGGAAAAAAGAAACAAAAACCATAAAGTGTATTAACTAATGTTAACAGCTTCCTTTCACTTCCAACCTCACTCTAGAGGAAACTTCTATCAACAGTTTGGAGTATGTTTTATATACTCTCTCTCTCTTTCTCTCATACTGAATCCCTTTCTAACACACCTGTAATGGCATTTCACGTATTATCCTACAATTTGCTTTTCATGTGCAGCAATGTATCTGAGACACATACCTTTCCAGGTCAGTCCATGTACAACCACCTTCATGAAGGCATCGTATTACACAGCAGACACACGTTCTAACTTGTTGAGTTCCTTCCTTAGGGATGGGCATTTATTGTAGCCTCTACACATGCTTTGACCAAACTTCTATTAACCTTACCTTACAAATACTTCTAATGAATAAGGCTTGAACAAATATTGGCAAAGACATTCCAAGCAAACACAAAAGCCGGGAAGTTCAAACTGGATTTAAGAAGGGTTAGAAACAGCCTAGGTCTTAGAAAAGACCCGGATGCTGGGAAAGCCTAAAGGCAAAAGGAAAAGGGGGTGGCAGAGGACAAGGTAGTGGATGGCATCACCAACTCAGTAAGTCTGAGCAAACTCCAGGAGATAGTGAAGGACAGGGAAGCCTGGTGCGCTTCAGTCCATGGGGTCACAAAGAGTTGCACGCCACTTAGTGACTGAACAACAATAAAACCAGCCTGGTTCTTGGGCCCTTGGGCCCTTGGGGTTCTGATGGAGGAACCGTGACTGTCATACAGAAAGGCACATGGAGACCAGTGTGTGGAGTGGAGGGTGCGGTGGGGCTGGAAGTGCCAAGAAGCTGTTAACCTTAGTTAATACATCAACACTTTTATGGTTTCGGTTTCTTTGTTTACTAGAACTGTGTTAATTTTGTTGTTGTTGTTCAGCCGCTAAGTCGTGTCTGACTCTTTGTGACCCCAGGGACTGCAGCATACCAGGTTTCCCCGTCCTTCACCGTCTCCCGGAGTTGGCTCAGATGCATGCCCAGTTGAGTCAATGATGCTATCCAACCATCTCATCCAATGCTGCCCTCTTCTCCTTTTGCTTTGCTCTTGCAATAAAAACCAAAATTCTCACCACAGCCTGTGGGGCCCTGTAGAAGTCTTCACACGTTTTTTGCCCCATGGTTCAATGTTTACCGCACCCAGCCACTGGCCTCGTGAAGTATTTTTAGCAATCTGCACCCTTTGTCTCCTCCCTCTCCATCACCGACTTCTGTTCACACTTGAGTTCTCACTCAATTGTCACTTCCAAGGGGAGGTCTTTCCTGGCTTCCAGACAAGGTCAAGTCCCATCTTCATAGCATTTTTGTGAGCCCAAATTCCTCTCCTTCACAGTGCTTATCACAGTTGTGATTTTAAACTTATTTGAGTGATTATTTGACTCATGTCCAGTCACCCCACCAAACAATCTTGATGAAGGCAGGACTCTGTTCAAACCATCCCCCTGGTTAAATGAATGAACAAATGAATGATAAATCTCCAGGGACCCAGCATTGATGATAGCAGTGGCTGCCACTCAAGGGGCCCATCCTGGGGACAGGACAGTCATAAGGTAATAGGCCTTGGTAGGAAGAAATCAGGCTGAAGAATAAAGCCACAGCCCAAAGTCCCTGGCCAGCTGAAAGGTTACTCACCAGCTGCAAAGGCTCATGGGAGCCAAGCCTCAGCAGAGGCCAGGACAGCCTGTACTCGGGAATTAATAACCCAACACCTGCCCTAGGATCGTGTCCTGGCAGAAGGTTAGCTGAGCACCTCCAAGCTGGTCTTGACCTCCTCTTGGCAGTGAATCCAGAAGAGCTCCCTAGAGAATGGGACTAAAGGGAATGTGGCCTGTGGCATGTCTTTGGAGGAACCAGGAATGGATCCAGGATAAATTCTGCCTGTTCCTGGATGGGGAGATGGGTGCTTCGTGCATGCGTACTAAGTCACTCCAGTTGTGTCCAACTCTGCACGACCCCATGGACTATAGCCAGCCGGGCTCCTCTGTCCATGGGATTCTCCAGGCAAGAATACTAGAGCGGGCTGCCATGCCCTCCTCCAGGGGATCTTCCTGACCCAGGGATCAAACCTGCATCTCTTGCAGTTCATGCATTCGCAGGCAGGTTCTTTACCACTAGAACCATCTGGGAAGCCCCAGTGGGTGCTCCAAATCCCTGCAAATAGCATCATCCACCTCCAAGAGAAATGTAAATGGTTTCGAAGGACAGAGTCAAGGCGACCTCCACCCCACAGCCCTGCTGCAGGCCCTACACACACGCCCGGGCAGGCACCCCGGCCCACTTCCCAGACCGCAGAGATGCTCATTGATGCAGCTTGGCACAGGCCCACAGTCAGACACAGCAAGCAGCCCCATGCACAATACCATGGGTGCTAAGCTTGGAGGACAAAGCACCTGCTTCCTCCCCTCATGGCTTTGCATGTGTTGTCCCTATTCCTAGAGTTTCTCCCCTCCTGCTCTACCTGGCCACCTTTCTTCTCCTTCTCCACCCAGCTCAAGTACCAGCTTTCTCAGGAAACCTTCCCTAGCATCCTACGAATGAATACTGCATTCTAATGTTGGCCACACTTCTGTCTAACTCATGGTTCACTCGTCTGTCCCCCCAACAGACTGTGGGTGTCTGAGGAGCATGCCCTGCGTGCCTTGCACACAGGAGGAGCACAATAATGTCTGCAGAGTGAATAACCAGGGTGCTGGCCATTGCTGACACTAACGAGCTGTGTGACTTTGGGCAAGGTGCTTTCCCTCCCAGATTCTTCATCTCTAAAGAGAGAATTGGGGAACTTCCACTTCCCACTATGACGGACTA